GGTTGGGGGGTTGGGTGTCTTGCTCAGGGGCACCACGACATGCGGGCATGGCAGGGAGTCGAGCCTGTGACTTTCAGGTCCCAAGCCAGCTGCTCTGCCACTTCACCAGGACCACCGCCCCCCCCCTCCCCCCAAAAAATGACTTTAATAAGGCCTGCAGCCCCTCTGACTGGATCAAATCAAATATACAGCATGACACAAACTGTTGCAACATTTAAAATAAATAAAAATAAATGAGAATTTCTTTCGTGTATAAAATTCTTAAACATGGAACTGAAAAACTTTTCGATTGAAATACAAACTGTGACACATTCAAAACAGTATCAATACAGAGTATTTGTATCAGTCCTAAATATCGGAACATTTTGTACGAGTACTTGTAAAAATGCACTAGTAAAAAGGATGTCTTCCTGTATTTGAGACCATCAGTTGTGTGCTGGCTTCTTTGACCCCAATAGGCTTATATATATATATGATAAAAATGGTTCATGTCTGCCATAAAAACACCAGGGACTTTAATTTCCAGAGTTATTAAATGGTTCCAGAAATTGTTATTGTGAGCGTTCACAAGTTACCAGATTTAAAAGCTTCTTTGGTCTTAGTTTATTTAAATGTTTTTTTATGATCAAAATAACAGTTTTAAAAGGAGATAAACAGAAACATGCAGTTCTTAAAGCTAAAATGCTTTAAAGCAAAATTAAAAATGAAAACATGTTGAGATATTTACCTGTCAGAGGGTTTGTAAAAGGCAGCTTGTGTTGGTGTCCAATGACAAGAATGACTGCAAACGTCTACTTTATCATTTTCAGGTACTTCCTGATACCGGTCAGCTGTTTCACACGTAGGTAAACATCTGAAGCATCTTGTGCTTAAACAGATGCCACAACTATCACATCTACACAAAACCTGATTATCCAGTTGAAAGTTTTGTTAAAAACAAAATGTGTGCCAAGATTTTACCAGTCTGGGTATTTTACAGAAGTCCGTCTGTCCATCCGTCTGTTTTCTGCCGCTTATCCGGGATCGGGTCATGGGGGCAGAAGCCTAAGCAGAGAGACCCAGACTTCCCTCTCCCCAGGCACTTGGACCAGCTCGTCCGAGGGAATCTCAAGGTGCTCCCAGACCAGCCGAGAAACATAGTCCATCCAGTGTGGCCTTCCCCTGGGTCTCCTCCCAGTGGGACATGCCCGGAACACCTCTCCAGGGAGGCGTCCAGAAGGCATCCTAACCAGATGCCTGAGCCACCTCAACTGGCTCCTCTCGARGTGGAGGAGCAGCGGCTCTACTTTGAGTCCCTCCCAGATGACCGAGCTTCTCCCCCTATCTTTAAGGGAGAGCCCAGACACCCTGCGAAGGAAACATTTCGGCCACTTGTATCCACAATCTCGTTCTTTCGGTCACTACCCAAAGCTCGTGACCATAGATGAGGGTAGGAATGCAGGTAAATTGAGAGCTTTTGCCTTCTGGCTCAGCTCCCGCTTCACCACAACAGAGTGGTACAGCGCCTGCATCACTGCAGATGCAGCACCAATCCGCCTGCCAATCTCCTGCTCCATTCTTCCCTCATTCGTGAACAAGACCCCAAGATACTTAAACTCCTCCACTTGGGGCAGGACTTCCTCCCCGACCTGGAGGCGGCACGCTACTGGTTTTTGGTTCAAGACCAAGGTCTCGGATTTGGAGCCACTGATTCTCATCCCGGCCGCTTCACAATCGGCTGCGAACTGCTCCAGTAAGAGCTGGAGATCACGATCTGATAAGGCCAATAGGACCACATCATCCGCAAAAAGCAYAGARGRGATCRTAAGGTCACCAAAAAGGATCCCCTCAACACCTTGGCTGCACCTAGAAAATCTGTCCATAAAAGTTATGAACAGAATCGGTGACAAAGGGCAACCTTGGCGTAGTCCAACTCTCACCGGAAACGAGTCTGACTTACTACCGGCAATGCGGACCAAGCTCTGGCACCGGTCATTCAGGGACCAAACAGCCCGTACCAATGGGCCTGGTACCCCATACTCCCGGAGTACTCCCCACAGGAGTCCCTGAGGGACACGGTCGAACGCCTTCTCCAAGTCCACAAAACACATGTAGACTGGTTGGGCGAACTCCCATGCACCTTCCAAGACCCTGCTAAGGGTGTAGAGCTGGTCCGCTGTTCCACGACCAGGATGAAAACCACACTGCTCTTCCTGAATCTGAGATTCGACTATCCGACGGACCCTCCTCTCCAGGACCCCTGAATAGACCTTACCAGGGAGGCTCAGAAGCATGATCCCCCTGTAGTTGGAACAAGCTCTGCAGTCCACCTTTTTAAATAGGGAGACCACCACCCTGGTCTGCCAATCCAGGGAAACTGCTCTCGATGTCCATGCAGTATTGTAGAGTCGTATCAACCAATGCAACCCCACAACATCCAGAGCCCTAAGGAACTTTGGGCGAATCTCATCCACCCCCGGCGCCCTGTCACTGAGGAGCTTTTGAACCACCTCAGTGACCTCGGCACCAGAGATTGGAGAGTCCAACCCAYYGTCCCCAGGCTCTGCTTCCTCATGGGAAGAAGTGTCGGTAGGATTGAGGAGGTCCTCGAAGTATTCCGCCCACCGACCCACAACGTCCCGAGTTGAGGTCAGCAGCGCACCATCCCCACCATAAATAACGTTGGTGGCGAACTCCCAACCACACCCCTCCAGGTCTCACTGTCATTACCCACGTGAGCGTTGAAGTCCCCCAGCAAAACGAGGGAGTCCCTGTTAGGAGCGCACTCCAGCACCCCCTCCAAGGACACCAGAAAGGGTGGGTAATCTGAACTGCTGTTAGGCGCATAGGCACAAACAGTCAGGACCCGTCCCCCCACCCGTAGGTGGAGGGAGGCTACCCTCTCGTTCACCGAGGTGAACCCCAACATACAGGCACCGAGATGGGGGCGCGGATAGTATGACCACTCCTTCTCAAAGCCTCTCAGCATGGGCAATTCCAGAGTGGAAGAGTGTCCAACCTCTCTCAAGGAGACTGGTTCCAGAGCCAGAGCGGTGCGTTGAGGTGAGTCCAACTATTTCTAGTCGGAACCTCTCAACCTCACACACCAGCTCAGGCTCCTTCCTCTCCAGAGAGGTGACATTCCACGTCCCTAGAGCCAGCTTCTGTAGCCGAGGATCAGACCACCAAGGTCCCCACCTTCGACCACTGCCCAACACAATGCACCCGACCCCTACGGCCCCTCCCACGCGTGGTGAGCCCATGGGAAGGGGGACCCACGTCTCCTCTTCGAGCTGTGCCCGACCGGGCTCCATGGGCAAAAGCCCAGCCACCAGGCGCTCGCCAACGTGCCCCACCTCCAGGCCTGGCTCCAGAGTGGGGCCCCGGTGACCCGCGTCTGGGCAAGGGAACACTGACTCCATTTATGGTACTCATCATAGAGGTCTTTGGGCTGCTCTTTGTCTGATCCCTCACCTAGAACCAGTTTGCCTACTGGGGCATGAGGCGCCTGACAACATAGCTCCTAGGATCATTGGGACACTCAAACCTCTCCACCACCATGAGGTGGCAGCCCAAGGAAAGGATTTTACACAAGTGACACAATTAAATTAATTCTATTCAATTCAGCACTAATTCACTACTAAAGTCATCCCAAGACACAAAAACATTCACATGCGTTATAAAATGTCAATTAGTAAAAATTATCTATACAAGGAAAGGAGCAGCAGATTGTGTGGAATCTTCACTTCATCACAGTCTCCCATCCTGAGCAGCACAGTGGTGACAGTGGAGAGGAAAAACTCCCTTTAACAGGAAGAAACCTCCAGCAGAACCAGAACCAGGCTCAGGATGGGCACCCATCTGTCATGACCTGCTGGCTCAGAGAGGACAGCATACATGTCAATGTGTAGATTATGATTCTCACTCATTTTGTAGGGATACAGATTTTTTTTTTTTTACAAAAACTCAGCTTCAGTTTTTTAATGTCTCAGAGAGCATGTAGGATGTAAAAAAACAAAAACAATAAATAAAACTAAATAACCTCCTCCCAACCTGCTCTGTAGCAATGTTTCACAAAATCAATGCGTCTTTTGAGTTGAGAATGTGTTCTCAGCTCTTCCTTTCAGCAAGTAGAAGGAAAGAGGTGGGCACTGTCAAACCACACCAAAACCCCCTCTAATTAGGTAATAGTTTCTGGAAAACTTCAAATTAATAATATAACTACCAATGTAACATTTTTGGAACCCAGTAATGTCACTGTGTGTGTTTTAATATACTGTAGGGTTTACGAGTGATATGTCAGAAATGTATTTTCCCTACTAACCCAGTAAACATGGTAAAGCTCAGATTTCCCAGCTTTTTACCAGTTTTGAAGGCAGCATTAAAGTGCCTGTGACATCAAATTTTAATTATATGATTTACTTTTGGAAAAATAACATTGATAACATAATGTAAAAAAGATTTCACGTCGCTGAGATGAACAGCTGTTGAGATATTTGCATGTGAAGTAACAGGAAGTGATGTCAAAGGGGAACGTCTGAATATAGAGCGTTGCTAAAATGGCTAACAACCCAGACTGTAAAAACGAATTATGTTTCTTTAGATAATTTTAACCACTATCATAAAAAGAGTCATAGTTCAAATATTAAAAAAAAACGAAGTTTTCTTTCTCAAAGATTTCCCCTTTGATGCCACTTCCCGTTTCACTTTAGTTGAGCCAAATTCAAAAGAAATGTGCCAATTACATGACATAACGGGTAAAATCGTGTATCAAGGTAAGTTTCTTATACAAATATATTTTCGTTGACTTTTTGTATTTCATGGATATGCACGTCACAGGCACTTTAAGTCAAATTCAGAGGCACTTGTGCAAATCTTGCAAATCTGCCCTCAAGACAAAATTCTCATCATAGAAGAGTTTGATTATTTTCATGGTTCTACTCTGAGCTGTTGGAGATCTGCTGATTTCTGTCTCAAGGTGTTAACACGGGAACAGTTTCTGGAGTAATGTGGAGACAGAACACAGCTGGAAAAGGTGTTTATTGAAAAAAGCAAAGAGCTTTTACAGATTAGATTCCTACCAGCACTGAATTAGAGCAGAGATACTAGCATCAGCTGATGAAAACTTGAACTGTTAATAACCATAAACTGACACTGGGAAATAAAGTGTGTCAAAAATGTGTTGATGAATCTGACAGCTGGGTACACGTGTCTCAAAGAGAAATCAGCTTTTGATGCTGTGGAAGGTCCGAGTCCGTGTCAGGAAGACGGTTTTAGAATTTAGTGAAGTAAGAAGATCTCAGGTTATCGCTAGTTCTATACCTTGTTTCAAATCTGAACACAAGAAAACCAAAAAGTCTTATTTTCGTGCTGGATTCAGTCCAGACCCCTTGTCTTTATGACTGTGGGCTGGGAGGATGGGAGCAGTGTAGACCAGAGTCATCATGTAAGATGTCTAAATGGAGGACGTTCTCTTCAGTGTGAAGCAGAGTGTGGGTGTTTCCAGGCAGGACACTCTGACTGGGACAGTCTACAGCCTCCTCAGGCTGGTCCGGTGGGGTGAGTCTGGTTTCAGTTCCAGATGAATGTGGACAGGACGCGCTGCAGTCGGACCCCTCGTCTGGGTCAGGCTGTGTGCCGTCTGCACACCTGGAGGTTAGACCAGCTGCCTGCACAGCTCCTACGGCATTTTTAGAAGAAAGGTGGCTGCTGAGAGACTCCGCCCCCGTTTTTGAAGCGGTGTCACTTCTCAGTCTCAAAACAGGATCAGGTACTCCAGAGTCCAAGGTGTGGCTGCGACTCAGAGACCAGTCTTTGAGATGAGACTGAGAATCGTTGCTTTTTAAGAAGCTGCTGACTTCCACAGTCTCCCCTCGCTTCAGTCTCCTCTGGTCTGGATTCACCTGCAGAGAAAAACACCCAAGACTCAGTTTAAGGACTAAAGAGTTCAAAAACTAAATGCCCTGTCACACTAGACAAATTATGCCAACTTATGAAACATTTTTTTATGTCTAAATTGCTAATAAAAATAGTATATTTGATAGATTTGTTAGAATTACAGTGTGTGTATGCCTTAAAGGAGCCTCCAGTTGATTCTTTCAATTCCATCTTCAACGTAGATGTCTTTCAACTTTTCATAAAACACCACAGTTTGACAGGGCCTTAAGACCCAGTTTATGGATAAGATCCAGTTTCAGGACTAAGAATTACTTTAGGGACTATGATCTAGTTTAAGGACTAAAGTTCCATTTAGGGACACAGATTCAGCTTAAGGATCTCCAAGTTTAAATTAGACATATCCTGGTTTTAAATCCTTCCTTTTCACATTTAAATCATTCATTTGGAATCTTTATAAAGTGGAACTACAATGCTTTGGTCTGAGTTCCTTCTTATTTTAACTTTACCAGCTCCTCTTTCACCCCTTTTCAGCTGTGTGTCTCAAAGCAGCAGGGGCCTCATGCATAAAGGATTGTGCAACTTTCACACTAAACGTTGGCGTGCGGACAAATTTAGAAAAGTGCGCCGCACCAAAAAAATCAGATGTATAAGACTGTGCGCACGCATGTTTCTGAGCACCTTTCCTTTACATCCCAATGAACGTGGAACTGAGCGCACGTGAGATACCTCCCCTGACACGCCTCCAGTTAAATATGTAAAATAGATGTAAATGTGTCCAGCGTGTGAGATTCTCCTCAGATTGTCCTCTCTGTGGGATCAGAAAGGATTTTTAGATGCAGGAAAATTATACATTAAATGGAGAATGAGTGAAAAAACCTCTCCTTGGGCTGCTACCTTATCGTGGTGGAGGGGTTTGTGTGTCCCAATGATCCTAGGAGCTATGCTGTCTGGAGCTTTATGCCCCTGGTAGGGTCACCCATGGCAGACAGGTCCTAGGTGAGGAACCAGACAAAGCGCAGCCCGAAGACCCCTTATGATGTTAAAAAACATTGAATCTGGCGTTCCCTCGCCCGGACGCGGGTCACCGGGGCCCCCCTCTGGAGCCAGGCCTGGAGGTGGGGCACGATGGCGAGCGCCTGGTGGCCGGGCTTTTACCCACGGAGCCCGGCCGGGCTCAGCCCGAAGAAGAGACGTGGGTCCCCCTTCCAACGGGCTCACCACCTGTAGGAGGGGCCAAAGGGGTCGGGTGCAATGTGAAATGGGCGGCGGCCGAAGGAGGGGACCCTGGCGGTCTGATCCTCAGCTGCAGAAGCTGGCTCTTGGGACGTGGAACGTCACTTCTATGGTGGGGAAGGAGCTGGAGCTAGTGTGCGAGGCTGAGAGGTTTCGGCTTGAATAGTCAGCATCACCTCGATGCATGGTTCTGGTTCTGGAACCAGTCTCCTTAAGAGGGGCTGGATGTACTTCCACTCTGGAG